ACTTTCCATCTCTGTAGACTTACTGTTTCTGGACATTTCATATGCATGGAAAAATACAGTAAGTGATCTTTTGTGGCTGGCTTCTTCACTTAGTAAAAGGTTGTCAAGGGTCACTCGTTATTAGGATGTGTAGGTACCTCATTCCTTTTTACAGTTGAATAATATGTATATACCATATTTTTGTTAACCATTTGTCAGTTGATGGACATTGGCCGCTTCTCCCTTTTGGCTATTTTTAATACTGCTGCTATAGATATTTGTATACAAGTTTTTGTGTAGACACATCTTTTTGTTTCTTTTGGGTATACAGCTGACCCTTGAACAACACAGGTTTGAACTGCATGGTTCACTGATGCACAGATTTTTTTTCCCATTAAGTTCTTTGGGAAATTTTTTATAGATTTGGGCCAATTTTTAAAAACTCACATGTGAGGTGCCTGGGTGGCTTAACTGGTTAAGCATCGGACTCTTGATCTTGGCTGAGGTCACGACCTCACAGTTCAGGAGTTCGAGCCCCACATCAGGCTTTGCACTGACAGCGCATAACCTGCTTGGGATTCTTTTTGGTTTTTTTAATTTTTTTTAACATTTATTCAGTTTTGAGAGACAGAGAATGAGTGGGGAAGGGGCAGAGAGAGAGGGAGACACAGAATCTGAAACAGGCTCTGAGCCGTCAGCACCGAGCCCGACGCGGGGCTCGAACCCACAAACTGTGAGATCATGACCTGAGCCGAAGTCAGACGCTTAACCGACTGAGCCACCCAGGAGCCCCTTGGGATTCTCTTTCTATCCTCCCTCTCTGTCCCTCTCCTGCTCGTACCCTCTCCCTTAAAATATGAAAAACTTGAAAAAAAAAACCTCACACACGAAATGCATAGCCTAGAAATACTGAAAAAAAAAAAGAAAAAGCTAGGTACTATTGTGAGAACACAGTATATAACACATACAACATAAAAAATACATCAATTAATCGTTTGTTGTTGGTAAGACTTCTGGCCAACGGTTAAGTTCTGAGGAGTCAAAATTATACACAGATTTTTAGTTTTATGGTGGCTGGCACCCCAACCCCTGTGTTGTTCAAGAGTCAACTATATACCTAGGAATGGAATTGCTGAGTTTTTTTTTAAACATTTTTAAAATTTATTTTTGAGACAAAGAGACAGAGACAAAGCATGAGCAGGGAAGGGGCAGAGAGAGAGGGAGATACAGAATCCGAAGTAGACTCCAGGCTCTGAGCTGTCAGCACAGGGCCTGATGCAGGGCTCGAATCCATGAACTATGAGATCATGACCTGAGCTGAAATTGGACGCTTAACCAAATGAGCCACCCAGGTGCCCCTGGATTTGCTGAGTTATATGGTAACTCTATGTTTAACTTTTTGAGGAACTGCCAGACTATTTTCCAAAATGGCTACACCATTTTACATTCCCACCAGCAATGCAGGAGGTTTCCAATTATTCCACATCCTCACCAACACTTGTTATCTTACTTTTTATTTCTAGTCATTCTAGTGGATGCAAAATGCTATCTCTTTAGGGTTTTTTTCCTTAGAGCGGAAATTAGTAAAACAGAGAATACAAAAACAATTGAGAAAAATTAACGAAACCAAAAGGTCATTCTTTGAAAAGATCAACAAATAGAAGATCTTTAGCTAGACTGATCAAGAAAAAGATTAAAATTACTACAATAAGAAATGAAGAGAAATTGCTACTTAACTTACAGCAATAAAAGGGGTTATAAAGGAAAGGAATACTGTAAACAATTGTGTGCCAACATATTAGATAACTTAGGTGAAACGAACAAATTCTCAAAAAGACAAACTACTGAAATGGACTTGAGTAGAAAGAGACAATACGAATAGACCTATAACAAGAGAAAAAGACTGAATTAGTAACCAAAAAACTACCTGCAAAGAAAAGCCCAAGCCTAGTGGCTTCACTGCTGATTCTACCAGATATTAAAAAACAAAACAAAACAAAACAAAACACTAACTCTTCACAATTCCAAAAGACAGAGAGGTCACACAGTCTGCAGGTGGCAGGGTCAGGATCCAAATGTAGCCATATGATTCTAGAGTCTACAGTCTTGACCACTATATTAAACTGTGTCTCTGAATGACTGAATAAATTTGGCAATATTATAAGCCATCAAGTTGTTACTTTGTATTATCCAATTTTTGTTGTTTACCTTGGTATCTGTGACTTCTCTGGTCTATAGAGAAAAGATCTAGGGACTTGACAGAGCATTTACATAACTGACAATGTTGCCGTATTTCATTTATGGAGCAAAAAGCATGGCACCTACTAAAGCTCTTTATGTGTTTTTATTTCAATGACTTCTCAAAACAATCCCATGAGACAGACAGGTACTCTTATTATTCCTATCTTGTAGATGAGGAAACTGAGGAACAAGGCAGTCTCCCAGATAGCAAATGGAAAGAGCTGAATTTAAATCCCAGTCTGTCTGGTCCCTGCAGATCTTCTTTTCTACTATGGAAAATCTGTCCATTCCTATGCACTCCTCTGACATGGCCCGTCTCGTGTCTGACCTCCATGACAGAGGGCTTTTGGTAAGTAGACAACCCTAGCCTATTTATTCATCTGTGTGCCCTCTCTGGCCCACAGGCTGAGAAAGGATGTGCTCCTTCATTGTCTACTGTTTGAATAAACAACTATTCAAAAGTGACTGTTAATAACTCAATTTAGATATTTCACTCCCACTCAATTACCACTTAGCACTGAAATGATGAACTGTAGGCTCTCTTACCCTTTTAGCACATCTAATATTATTGATAGTTATTATATGTAGTTTAAAGTTATTAAGTTCAAAATTTCAAAGAACAAGCACACATACTTATCCACTAAACTAACTGCAAAGAAATCTAGGGAATATTTTAAATAAGACTGCTTTTGTGCTCCAAATGAAGAATGCTTTCTATTATTTTGGAAGTGTCCTAAAAATGAACTTTTTTGCCATGGGAAATAATAGTTGCACCAATATATGAAATTCCATTTCCTGAAGGAAATAAGATATTTGACAAAAAATTTTAGCTAACTTTTCTGATTACATACCGTATGAGTTGCTATAGGTTACTAGTGTAAATTCCTATACTAATCTCTTCCCCTAAAGAATTAATAATGATCTCCTAGTGATCCATACATCAGTCTCCAAAACTGCTGGAAACTGTATCAAATGCAAAATAACACTATTTGAAAAACCAACATAATGATTTCCAGAGTAATTATCCCTACTATAAACGAAAGCAACAAATAAACACAGGAATTTTAAACCTAATACTTCCATAGCTCTAATAACCCTTTCAAAAATATAATATTAAGAAATTTATGAAATCTATCTGCTTTCATTTTCAGTTAATATTAATCATTATTTACTGGAGGGAGGAGGTGATCAGTTATACTATGGCCTTAAAATTAATGGTTGATCCAAAATTTGGAAAATTTGGTCACCATTTTTACTGGTTTAAATTGGCATATGTGGGGGCACCTGGGTGGCTCAGTCGGTTAAGTGTCCAACTTCATCTCAGGTCATGACCTCATGGTTTGTGGGTCTGAGCCCTGTGTTGGGCTCTGTGCTGACAGCTAGCTCAGAGCCTAAAGCCTGCTTCAGATTCTGTGTCTCCGTCTCTCTCTCTGACGCTCCCCTGCTCACACTGTCTCTCTCTCAGAAATAAATAAAACATTAAAAAAAAAAACAAAAAACCTGGCATGTGTGTACTTACTTTTTATCTTTTTAAATTCTTTCTTTAAATGCTCATTTTTTGGTAAATTTGTATATTTGCCTTAGAAATATAACTATTGGTTCAAAAGTGCAAATCTGAATCTTTCTAATGGTTCCTGGTTACAGTATGATGCATGATTTATTGGAGGAACTTTGGAAGAAGTGAAATAGAACTAGGTCAGTATAGCCTTGACCAATCACTTCTGTCTTTGAGCCTTGGTTTCCTCACCTATAAAATGGGAATAATGATCATACTGACATTAAATAGTTGTTGTGTGGACTAAAGCCCTTGCATAGACCTGGTCCAGAGTGAAAAGATCTGGCCCTACTTTTCTCCTTTACACTTCAAGTTGCCCGAATATACTAGCTATTTCATGTCACTGTCCTGACTTTATATAGGTTTCTGACTTAGGATGCCCTCTCCAGTATCAGCTGCAGAGTTCTTCACCCCACTTCTTTGGGTCTGACAAATGCTTATTTGTTATTCAAAACCCTCTCCAGGATCACTTTCCTCACATGGAGTTATACTCCTCACACTGATTTACAATTACTCCTTCACCAGGCTCTGAGACCACCATAGGAGGTCATTTACCTCCAGATTTCTCAGCACTTCCCAAAATCCCTAGTACATGGTAGTTGGTCAATAATGACTGCAAACTGCACAGAACTGGGCTTTCCACCATACCTCTCTGTTAATACCACAGTATTAACAAGTATGCAAGAAACTAAGACAGAGGCTTGGAGTTAAAACTAAAATCACAAGTTTGGTAAGTATTGGATTCTTTCTGTTTCTGGTTTAAGGTATGTTTTTTTTCTTTATTAAGTGTATTCATTTATTTTGAGAGAGAGAGACTGAGACAGAGAGAGAGCAGAAGCAGGGGAAGGGCAGAGAGAGAGAATCCCAAGCATGCTCTGCACTGTTAGTGCAGAGCCCCACACAAGGCTTTAACTCACAAACCATGAGATCATGATCTAAGACAAAATCAAGAGACGGACACTTAACTGATTGAGCCACCCAGGCACCACTTAAGGTAAACTTTTTAGAAGTCACCTTATATGCATCTAGGCCACCCTACTCATGTAAATAAATGTTAAGAGTAAATGTTCTTGTCATCTTTTTTTTCTTCCATGGCAGCATCCTGCTTTGGATGTGGACTACATGCTGACTTCACTGGGACCGTTTTCAAACAACAGAGCACACGGATGTACTTTTCCTTTCAAAAGCAAGGGTGCCAGCTATTGTGCTAGCCCCTGTCACTCACCTCAGCCACCTGCTGGGTCCCCACTCTGTGCTGAACCAGCCCCTCCATATTTGTAGCCATGGTGAAGCAAGATCATTAGAGAACCTGTTTGGAAAGATGCAGCAACTTCTATCAGGTGGGGAGAAACCAGGCTACTTGAAAAATAACAGAAATCAAAACTCATCTTTGGTAGTGTCTTGTACAGACTGTGCCCTCCACAGAAGACACAGCTACAAGGCCGAGCATATCCAGATATGCTGCACCAGCTTCTTTTATTATAGGTACCAAAATTAATTAGCAGAAACATTTCAATTTGGAAACAAGACTAGACTTCCCCTGGTAAATATAAACAAAGATGAGTTTGGAACTTCAGTTATCTAGGCCCTTGGGTTGTAACAGCTGGGTCCACCTCTCAGGGAGGTGGGAATCACACCTTTTTGGATAGCTCCCCATCACATTATGCTGAAAAGAAGGTGGCTATCTGAGACAGGTGTGAGATCAACCTTAGATACAGAGCACTAGATTGCTATCAACTATACTTCTTGTTACCAGTGGCAATGTGAGAACCAAAACCCTGCCCAGGTGCTAACACACCTCACTCACAGGTGGAAAGGCAAACACCAGCACTAGCAAAGAAGTAAGGAGACTACATTACTAAAGTGGTACCCATAAATACATCTATTTATATTTTAAAGTCCTCATTAAATTAGAAAACCAGACAATTCAGCTTTTTATTAATAGAAAAAATAGTGCCCTCAATTGTAAAAATTGAGGAAATCACCTAAAGACCAAAAAGTGTGCGAGTCTCCTGGGTCAGGATCACTTGAACGCAAAGCACTATTAATGAAACAGCCCCCTCCCCGCCCCCCCCCACCGTCTGGTATCTTGAGGTCTAAAGACACAGCTCTCCTAAATAGTCCCTAAACTCCTTCCAATAACTCTTCCACAAGAATTCAGGATAAAGAGATCCACTTTGGATCTAATTCCTGGACAAATCAGAAAGACTTTATTATTGATTGTGTAGGTTTCATGGTGAATAGGAGAAAAAAAGCTCCTATATAATTTTTATATAATTTATTTCTGGCAATGCATATAAAAACTATATAGAATTATACAAAATGTGTTATATAACAAATGCATACACAGTCCATTTGCTTGGTCCTCTCTCAATCATAAACTGGACAGTAAAATTTTATAATAAAACACTTTCTGGTAGTTCTTACCTAAAGTATTAGAAGCACTGATCTCTATGAAACCTTTTCACTCTCTGGTAACTTTCCATACTGTTCTATCTACTATTAAATAGCCACATCTATTATCATAATTCCCTTTCAGATTATTTTATTGCCAAAATGGCAATGAGAGAGAAATGAAAGCATGAAACTGTGACTGACAAACATAAAAGAACTGGCCCCTGCTTCCCAAGAGTCAAAATCCTGTGAGCGCACATACTCTACCACCTGCTACGATGATACCAGGTCACAAGTGTCAGTGATTCAGAAAAACACTCTGGTCTTTTTTCGCAGCTATTGTTTGGTTCCAACTAACAGGAAAGGAAGAAAAACACATCATTTCATGGGTACCAGAAAATCTACTATTATTAAAAACACAATTATTGGGGCACCTGGGTGGCTCAGTCGGTTTAAGCTTTCGACTTCCACTCAGGTCATGATCTCGTGGTTCCTGAGTTCGAGCCCTTCATCTGGTTGTCTCCTGTCACAGACGAGCCTGCTTTAATTTTCTTTTTAATGTTTTTTAATTTATTTCCAAGAGAGAGAGAGAGAGAGACAGTGTGAGCAGGGGAGGGTCAGAGAGAGAGGGAGAAACAGAATCTGAAGCAGGCTCCAGGCTCTGAGCTAGCTGTCAGCACAGAGCATGACGCGGGGCTTGATCCCACGAACCATGAGATCATGACCTGAGCCGAAGTCAGAGGCTTAACTGACTGAGCCACCCAGATGCCCCTGAAGAGCCCGCTTTGGATCCTTCGTCCCTCCTCTCTCTTTACCTCTGCCCTGCTTGTGGGCTCTCTCCCCCTCTCAAAAAATAAACAAAACCCCATAATTACTGCAATGTGCAAAGTCTATAGTTCTAATTTTTCTTCTCAAAACAGTAAATAACTCTCTAAGGAATCAAATGGATAGATAACCAATAGGTATTTTATATTAAGAAACAAAATCCAAACATGCAGATGTAACTATTAATTGTATCACTTTTAGGACTGTTAGCATTTCTGTTGCAGTTTGAAGCAACAAATATATGAATTTGAATATGACAGAAATATTGTTAAGGAAATATTATTGAGTAGTATAGAAATAAAAGAATACTAGAAAGGTGTAACTTTCTATTGGGTTTCCCTAAAAGAGGTAGCTTGATCCTTCAAGTTTTGAGCTGAAATAGATTTTACGGATGACTACCTGACTTTGTAACTCAGAAAACTTTCTGTAATGACTCAACTTTAACATTAAATTTGCAGGACCAATCAGCCCCAGATAAGGCAGAGTGGGAGGTGAGGGTAGGCGCTGTCCGAAGATACTGCTAATGACCAGTCATTGTAGATATTAGGTCAGAGAGAAGTAGCAGTTAACTTGTTTAGCTTAGAAAAGGTAAATATTCTGGATATTCTAAATATTAAAGTAAATATCTTCTCCAACCCTGTGGTATGTTGGTTTACTTTCTTTATGCTTTTGACAAATGGAAGTTCTTAAATTTAATAAAACTGTATTTATTAATATTTATTTTACAGGTTATACTTTTATGTTTTATTTGTGAAAATCCTGTTCTACCCTAGGGTCATAAATATAACTTTATGCATTTCTTATAAATGTTTAGGAGTTTTGTCTCTGTTCCTCACATTTAAGTCCTTGATCTACGTGCAAATTGATTCTCGAGTTTGAGAAGGATCCAATTAATTTTCTTCCTGTATGGATAATCAATTTTCCAGCACTGTCTTTCTCCCCAACTAATCTGCAAGGCCACCTCTGCCATTATCTCAGGCTTCCCTATGCATGTGGCTATAATTCTGAGTTCTCTATTCTGTTCCACTACTGTTCTACTTCTATCTTTCTCCATGCCACTACCATTATCTTATCACTGCAGCTTTCCAAGAAGTCTTGTTCTCTGTTAGGGCAAGTGCACCTCCCCCACCTTGCTCTCTTTTCTCCCACACCCCAACTTTCTAGACCATCTCAAGCACTCAAAACCAGGGCAGCAACCTTTCTTACACATTTGAATTGTTATAATTCTTTTTTTTTTTTTTTTTTTTTTTAATATTTTTATTTATTTCTAGGAGAGAGAGAGAGGCAGCGTGAGCAGGGGAGGGTCAGAGAGAGAGGGAGTCACAGACTGAAACAGGCTCCAGGCTCTGAGCTGGCAGTCAGCACAGAGCCCGACGCGGGGCTCGAACCCGCGAACCGCGAGATCATGACCTAAGTGAAAGTCGGACGCTTAACCGACTAAGCCACCCAGGCGCCCCTGAATTGTTATAATTCTTGAAATCACTGTCGGTTTTCTTCCTCCAAAGCAACGTCAGGCATCATCAAACAGCAGCTTTCCAAACTACTTAAAAATGAGCAAGGAGGAATGTGCACCTTCTGGAAAAACAAGCAAAGACAAACAGTGGGAGAGAGAAAATTAAAGAAAAACTATGAAAAGCAAGTGCTTGTAATAAAGATTTAAATTCCCTAAGAACAGGTAAGTGAAAAGGCTATTTCAGGAAAATAATTTCCATTTCATCATTTTTGAAAACATGTTGTCACAAACCATATCCTATGCTCACATGTAGGTAAGAAAGATAGAGGCTTCTTTCTGCAGGATATCACAATATTAAGAAGTAAAACAAAATCCTTAGGCAATGTCAAGAAGTGAGGGAAAACATTAAATCATGTGCGCCCCAGATAGTATCGGGGGTAAGACTCTCACCTGAGAGCTTCTCTCACTGCTACCTCAGCCATGGGCATCTCTAGAGACAGAAAGATTACAGTGAGAAGAAAGGGTAGAGAGCTCTGGAAAGGGTGCTGGGTACCTCTATCTCCCTAGAATGAGAAGCTCCAGAAAAACAGTTTTCCAGTGTCTACATGTAGTCTGAAAAATATACTCACTAGCACAATATAAATTTGTGTTTGATCTGGGGGGGGAAAAAAGAACAATTTATCATTTTGATACCACAAATGAAACAAAGCATCAACAACCTTCTTGGCTGGTGGAGCATGATAATACAGTAACTAACACTTACTGAGTGGTTGCTATACTCCAGGCATTGCAATAACCACTCTGGTACCTCTTTGTATAGGAACTTGAGGTCTACAAAGGCTGGAGCTTGACCCACTCAGCTCCTTAACCCTTGAAGACTGCCCACAGGCACAATAATGCTTCTGAAAAAAGAATCTGCTTAGTTGCCAAAAGAGCTGTAAGACCAAGTATTTCTAGTTTAAAAAAAAAAAAAAAAAAAAAAAAAGCTGCTACAGTACATTTTTCTATGGTGGTTTTAAACTAAATTCAAGACCACCAAATCTTTTAAAGCAGCCACTCTGATGAACTAGGCAATGGACTAACTAACTGGTGAGGATTAATGATAAGAATAAGAAGAAAAAGGGGCACCTGTGTGGCTTAGTCGGTTAAGCATCCGACTTTCGCTTAGGTCATGATCTCATGGTTCGTGGGATTGGGCCCCGCGTCAGGCTCTGTGCTGACTGCCAGCTCAGAGCCTGGAGCCTGTTTCGGAGTCTGTGTCTCCCTCTCTCTCTGACCCTCCCCTGCTCACGCTGTCTCTCTCTCTCCCTAGAAATAAAAATAAAAAAATTTAAAAAAAGAATAAGAAGAAAAAGAGGAGGAGGAGGAGGACAAAGTACTTGCCACTGAAGAACTTAAGAAGGAAACTGTAATAGCTTTGCAATGTAAATGCTACAATCAGTGTCCAAAGGAAAAAGCATCTCCCTCTGCCTGTGGGAACCAATGACAGTTTCAAAGGAGAAGAGCTACTTAAACTGGGTCTTGAACCAAGAATGGAAATTTAGCAAGCAAAGAATGGAGTGATGAGGAGAGAGTTCTAAGCAGAAGGGATGGCTCAGAGGAGATGGCAGGTATGAAGGAGAATGGCATATTCAAGG